GTTCTCGGCTCGCTCTCCTCCTCCTCTGCTTTAACATTCACCAGACAAATGAACAGCTTAACGTCACTTTGTCTTGACGCGTCTCTTCCAATCCAGCCTCCCAAACATCTCATAGCAGGCTGTTGGGTTACACTAATCACTCTCAGTATGGGAGAAACAGCTCCAGAAATACATGCTCATGACTGCACTACACAGGCATAAATCAAAGGCATCATTTTATCCAGCCGCTCGGTGATTGTGATGTGTTTGTATGGAGGGGGAAGGGGAAACATCAGCAGGCAGGACTGAGAGGAAAGGATGGTTGCTTGGAAACCCTAGGCGAGAGAGAGATGGAGACAGAGAGAGAGAGAAACAGAAAGAGAGAGGAAGGATGGGAAGAACAAGCGAAGGGGTGAGGAGAGTATACATATAGAATTGACCAAAGCATTGTTTTGCTTTGATTTGAGGAAAAACAAGTGATGTGGTGTATTGCATTACATGTATATGTCAAATCACAGCGTTTAATACAAACACAAGCACAGTATGGCAAGACGTTTAACATTAAATTTACAAAGTTTTAGATGCTACTTTTTTCTGTTAAGTACTACTTATTTACAGTACAAAGTCCCTTTAAGGCAAGTCATTTCACTTGGCGGCAATCTTTGAATGGCAAGCTACTATTTTTTTGAATAGGGAAACATCAAATTCTCCTAAAGGTCAATTCCATGCAAATGTCAACCTTGCCCTAAATAATTAAGTTTTTACCAAAACAGCAAAACCCTTTCTAGGTTTTTTGTGTAAGCTTGTATTTTACAGTACTGTAATGCTGCATTCACACAATACGTGGAAGAAGCGTCAAGCATGAGTGATTTACATGTTAAGTCAATGCGAAGATGCAAATAGATATTCTGTGGCGCGAATGACGCAATTCACGCGAATGAAGCAGAGTGATTAGAGTTCATAAAGCACATAAACACAGCTATTCTCTATATAAAATCCATATTAGCCATTTAGCAACGAATCTAGAGTCCATGATGTGAATTCGCATCTATTGTGAGGTGAATTCGACACCTGAAAAAAGCGGATTTGATGCGCGAATTAAGCGAGTAAACTCAATGTTCATCTGTCCATTTACACACGAATAGCATGATTTATCCGCCTGTGCCCTGTTTGGTAATTAAATTGATTAAAACATTCTTTTGTCAAATAAACGATTTTTCTAGAGTCATCCACCATAATTCTATAGCTCAAAAGTATCGTTTCAGGCACCAATACCATTTAAAAAAAATTGATTTAGCATCGGTATCGAAATAACCCCAAACGATACCCAAGCCTGCCTTTTTGTCACATGTTTATTTTCCTCGTTTAAAATATTAAAAATGTTTACAGATTAATATTTTTCTGATCCCATAAGCCTGTGGTTAATTGTTTTGAAAATATAAACAGATGTTTCAATATAATGTTTCTGACAATTTCTCTGTGTTTTTATTTTTCAAGATTTTACTGCAAATGTCACATCCATAACACTGGAATTGCACAAAATTGATTAAATTTTATTTTTAGAATCACTAATGAAACTTAACAAAAACATTCTCTTAAATTGTTTCTACACGTTAAATTAACATAAATAAAACATTATTTTTTTCAGGTTGCTGAAGCTAAAGTTTATGCGTACTAGAATGGAGCAAGATCACAAAACCAACCTCCTTCGTGACCGTTTCTGGAGGACACAATTATTCAATCAAACTATGGATCTACCATAACAGTCAATAACATATGTGTTACATGAGATTATCCTTTCAATAATCCAATAATCCAATCCAATAATGTCCAATCATGCTGGTTAATCTCCCAAAACTATAGCAGGTTTCTAATAGTTTCCATCATGTGATTTGTATTTGAATATGTGGAGGCGGGAATTAATGAGGTAGGACAGGACTGACTTTACCTCGTGTACATTTCATACAGATTACAAAACCAGAGAACATTTCTTTTCAAGTGCAGTTGGATCAATTAAAAGTAGATATTTCAAGTTTTAGTCTGGGTTGGCCTGTGAGGCAAGTATTCAGTGTGTTTGCTGACCCTAGAGGCAGGGCAGTGCACAGGGGTATGGCCCGGTGGCTAGAGCCACTGCCCCTCTGGTTTATAAGAATAACGCTGCAGAAACTTTCATAGAGAACACCAGTCTGGACGGAGCCACTTCTCTGCTTTACTGATCGATGATTGGCTCCTTTATCAGAACCAAGGACTTCTGTCGCTAGAGTAGAGCTATTGAAAGTCAAACTTTTCCCCATTTGAAACTGTATGAGTGACACTTCTTGAGTACTATTGTCTTTGTTATTTATTAGCCAGTGCTTATTTGTTAAAAAAATAATAGTTAATATTTAATAAAGGGTATAATATTTCAGACAGGCTAGCAAGATCTTGACCGGTCTGGAAATTAGTGCCAGTTTGCAGTATGAAAATTGATGCATTTAATGGATTAAATTTTAAAACTGCTTAAAATTTTTAAAAAAAAGTTAAAATATATTGAGTTTGTTCAGATATTTGTCTAATATTTGTTTGTTTTACAGCAACATCAACAAGCATGGAGATGAAAAAAGTAAAAAGTAAATAGTACTCCACATTGTGTTGACACTGACATCAAAAAAGTTATCTGCAAAATCAGTAATTAGTAAAGCTAAAAGTATTTTTGCGCATACGTTAGTGTATAGAGACAGCTTTTTTAAATTAGACCCAACTTGATGATGTGCTCAAACATAGGTGCTCAACACATACAACCTGGGACTCCAATAGCATCATGTAGATAACCAGACTATGATTGTTTCTCAATTTCCAAGAACGGACAGCGTTCTCGTGGAGAGCGATCTAGCCAGGTTACCTTAGAAGAATAAACTCAGGAGATCGAGAGAACACAAAACGCGTCCTGTGAGAAATGACATGCTGCGTTCTTCTTGATGGTCACTTGACTTTTATGTATTTTTAACAGAAAATTATTTAGGCATTTCAGCATTACTGCAACCATTTATTGTTTTCCCCTTTTCAATACATAACAGGCATAAAAACCTTTTCAGCAAATAAACACCCTTAATGTGTTTATGCCTTTATTAAGATTTCAATGTTAATGTTAACTTTCACAGTCTCGTTTTGGTAAACTCCTGAAATAAATAACTTATATTTCTTTAATTATAAATCTATATAAAATGCTGTACTTCCCACCTTCTTTATTCAGTCGCAATGTATTCTGGGACTTCTAGAGCGAGACGAAACGTTGTCAGGGCTGGTAAAAATTTGAACCACTGGTCCAGTCGGCCCAGTGGAAATAATCCTAAACGCTGAACCCTGGTTGAGTTTTGAAACTGAACAATGACGATTGATGATGCCGTTAAACGAAAACACGAGGACGCAAGATCGCTGAAGAACGCATATTGAGAATCAGCCAGTGACCAAACATTAGCAAATGCTACTCAGCTAACTTTTGCTAGCTGGTAAAAATCTAACAACAACTTTGTCAGCTACAATTCCTTGTTCAACCATCAAGCATTTGTGACTGACAGCATGTGCGCGCACACACACACACACACACACACACACACAACATGTGCACACAAACACACACACACACACACACACACACACACACACACACACACACACACACACACACACACACACACACACACACACACTTTTAATACAACACATAGCTGTTATCCTTCTTTCATCATATAAAAGAAGGTTACATTAGCATCCACTAGCTAGCTATACTCTACTACCCATTCCAATTTCTTCAAGGATCCAGCATTTTTGACAGCATGCATACATGAACACATACAGTATTTATGCACATCGTATGACATATAAACATATCATCAACTGTTATCATTTTTAAAAAGCTGAATCAAAACAGCAACCGCAACATTTCCAGCCACAATGTTTTCCATATTGTCTTTCTCAATCTACACATGTATATGAACCTTAAGTTTAATCATCAACAATACAAAATTGGCATATGAGGTAGAAAGAAAGAGAGTAGCATTGGTAACCACTAGCGAGCAAGCTGAGAAAATCTACCCACTACTTTGCCTGTCACAATTCCTTCATCAACTATAAAGCATTTGAAGCTGACAGCGCTAATCCACTACAAATGAACTAATGAGAAACTTCAATGAGAAATAAGCCAGGTTAAATAAAGCTCAAACACCCTTTATAAGCATTGTATGTTTACTCCACAGACGTCTTGGCGCATTACTGTCAACACTTTTCAGTTTGTTTTTACAAACTAAGGTACGAGTCAAATTTGTTACAAACCTGGATGATCTCAAAACATTGCTAACACCCCTATCATTTAGCATGAACTGGAGGCTAATGCTTTCCACAAAATTACCACTCTTTTCCTTTACGTCTGACTAGGTAAAAACACATTTCAAAGGGCTTGAATCCAAAACAAGTCACATTGGTTCTTTCTATCTGGTTGCATCATACATTGAGATGGTACCCAGACATATCAGGGAGGGTTTGACTCCATGTTTCTCCCATAACCCCTCACACAAAACAATAACAACTTCCACAATATTTCAGGTTGGCTCATTTGCTATAGCTATACCTTCCCTCACACATCTACTGGTTTAGAGAACTCTTTCCCTTTTCAAAATAACAAACAAAAGCTGTGTAACACTGTTTAACTATGCACAATGCTGCACTAAATATAACTAAAATTGCTCTGAGCATAGTTGATTTTCAATGTATAGCTATTAGAACCAGCATTTTGGAGAAATTGGATTTTTCAGTGAGCAGGTCTACAGCACAATACATAAACAGAAGAGATAAACAAAATAATCTGCCATGCACTGATAAATGCAGTCAGATGCCAAAGATAGCATTTACAATCTGGAAATATGTTCCTCATAAGCATTTAGGACACCACATTTATCGAAACAAAAAATATGAATGCAAAAAAGCCCCAAAGTATATGCATTGATTTATGAGGACTGTTTAAATATAGATTCAAGTTTACTTACACGGCACAGTCCGGAGGTAGAGGTTGTCACGTATGATTTGCTGAAGTTCGTGGTCCACTGAACCTTTCTGGAACCGTAAATTGAGATAATGGCGAAGATCTTTATCCACAACACCTCCTGAGGAATGTAAACAAAAAGCACCAATAAGTTAACTGGTAAATGCAAAACCTAAGACGATTAAGTTCAAATGTGCAATTCCATTTATTCAGTATTTTTCTGGCATTTGGCTGACAGGTTATCCAACCCTGTTGGTAATGTAGGACTAAGAAGGAAGGAAGGTGGGAAGGAAGGAGGAAAGGAAAGAAAGGAAGGAAGCAAGAAAATTAGGGCTGCACGTATAATCGAAAAAAAAAAAGATCACAATCTCGATTCGACCCCCACACAATCTAATCCAACATTTCAACGATTTAGCCAATTATATTTTCAAGTTCAGGAGAAGTATAAAGGAGGTCTCACAAGTCTTCACATTATTTTAAATACGTTGCTGCTAAGCAATGTGGTGGGGCTGCACGATTAATCGGAACATGTAAATCCGATCTCGATTCAACCATACACACGATCTCAATTAAGCTTTTCTACGATTCAGCCAATGTTTTATATTGCCTACATTCAGCAACATGGACACCTTCAAATGATGTTAAGAGTGTCACATACTATATTTATAAGGTATAATTAATCCAGAAATGCTATTTCTGTCTTAATTTAATGACATATTCGTGGCTGCGAAATGACAAGTGAGGTGACGAACTGTTTGTTTACTACAGAGAGGTCGCATACATGCCCGTGATTGATGTTTACTTTAGTGAACAGAAACTGCATAGGCCAGGGGCAGACTGGCCATCTGGCAGACCGAGCACTTTCCCGCTGGGCCGATGTACTTTTTGGGCTGGGCTGATCATCGTCTTATCATCTGATCGGCCCATAAAAGGCTTAGCAGCCTATCGTTTTTTCTGCCTTATTAATTGACGCTGCTGTGATCTCTGTGACTCTCTGAAAGTAGATGCTTTTTTTCCCGGACAGACAGACCGGGCCGGCCCATTTGACACTCTGCAGCCCATTGGCTCTTTTCTGTATTGACATTGGGCTGGCCCAATCACAAACTCCTATTTTGGACTCTGTGTGAGCGTGCGTCGTCTGTGTGTATTTGTCAAAATAGTCGAGAGTCAGAGAGAAAAAACGCAAGGGAGGCGCAGAGAAATCGCGGGAAATACAGCGGCGTTTCATTTAGCGGTTCTGAAAAGTTCTCTGTTCATTCTAGTACAAGGCTAAAAACGCAAATCACGTGACCACACACATGCGCACTCTCAGCCAAGAGCTGCAGCCAGTAGTTCAGCGGGTGAGCATAAACCCCAGGTGAGAGTATAGTGCATGTCAGACAGTTCATCTGCTGGATCTGATCTCACTATAGTTGTTAAACGTGATATTGAATTCATCTTGTTGTCTCTATCTATCAACTCTTATGTCTTTTGAATCACTTGTTCTCAGGTAACTCTGTTTTGGCTGAGTGCAAAGATAAGCTAATATATTAATTTATGTAACCACATACACTGATTCTGCACATTGACTGATTGATTACCTTTATCATTTAAATTCATTGTACGTTATACTGTTATAATGGCCATTATTGATTATTAAAACTAATATTCTGCAAAAGAGACAGGGTAAAGCTTGTTCTTTTTAATGAAAATGAAAGGAGGCAGATATATTTAGGCCCTACTTTGTTATAAATATGCAGAGTGAAGATGATGCTCATATAAATATATAGTTACACAAGGCTGTTTGGTGTCTGTTAATTATAATATCAAAATGAAACAAATTTGACTTATATTATGTTTTCATTGTTTAGATAGTGAAACAGCAAGCAGGATGAGGTGAATGAGGTTATAAAGTACAATGTTCCCTTTGAATATTTACCCATGCATTAGCAGGCAGTTTTTTATGTTTATTATTGAATATAGGCTGAGTGAATAGTGTATAGAATAAGCTAAATTGGCTGTAGTGTATGAGTGTGTGTGAATGTGTGTGTGGATGTTTCCCAGAGAGGGGTTGCGGCTGGAAGGGCATCCGCTGCGTAAAAACTTGCTGGATAAGTTGTCGGTTCATTCCGCTGTGGCGACCCCGGATTAATAAAGGGACTAAGCCGACAAGAAAATGAATGAATGAATGAATGAATGAGTGTATTTTTTTAGAACTCAACAAATATCTTTATGGACAGTATACAGAAATTAAATTGAGATTAAAGTTTGTATTTATTTATTTCATATATATGGCTTTTGTGTTTTATAAAATATGAGTTGATAAAAATATTGGACGTGCATAGATAGATAGCATTTTGATTGAATGTAGTGGGCCGCTCTGGCCCAAAATGCCAGGGCCGATTTTTTGCCCCAGTCCAGCCCTGGCATAGGCTGCAAATAACAGGCAATAAAGTTGTAAATAACATTTGAGAGCCACACAGGAAGTATGATTTCCATGTATGTTTTTATTTTGTCATAGTGAAGGGGATCATGACATGAGCGCACTCGGCAGTGAAAGTGAAACCGAAAGCACGCACATAATTTAAATGATCATATGGCATTTTAGAGTAATGATTACGACAAGCATTTGAAATGTTTTTCTTTACAGCGAACACAAAGTGTTGCGCATGAGAACAAATGTTTAACAGTGTCATTACAACTACTCTAGCCTATGTACGTATTGTTGAATATAATGCAAGAACTAATCTGATAATGACAAATGTCTAATTTTACCAGTGATGAAATGGTCTAATAATGCTGTCAATGATAGATTGTAAGCATTTGTCCCAAAACAAAATTAATTCAACATAAGAATTATGAATAGTTGTATTCTGATGTCATCACTTAACTGTGCATTAATGACCAGGGCAAATTTAGAGTCTGTTCAAGTCCACCATTCTAGGTCTATACAAAATTTAGCAGTTTTACCAACACTAGACCTACACATAGGCCTAATATTATTGATGTTTTACCATACGTTTGAGAAATAACAATAATAATAGCTCAAACATATTAACCTTTATTTTACATCTACAGAACCGTGAGAAAATTGTGATCTTGATTTTTAAACAAATATGGAGGAAAGAAAGGAAAAAAGAACAGAATGAAGAAAGAAATAAAGAAAGAAAGAAAGAAAGAAAGAACAAAAGGAAGAAAGGAAGGAAGGAAAGAAAGAAAGTAAGAACAGAAAGGAAGGAAGGAAGGAATGAAGAACAGAATGAAAAAAGGAAGGAAAGAATAGAAGGAAGAACAGAATGAAGGAAGGAAATAAGGAAGGAAGGAAGGAAGGAAGAAAGGAAAGCAAAGCAGAGAAATAAAGAAAAAAAGAAAGGTAAAAAAGAAAAAGAAAGGAAGGAAGGAAAAAATAAATGAAAGAAGAACAGAACAAAGAAAAAAAGGAAGGAATGTAGGAACTAGGGAAGGAAGGAAGGAAGGAAGGAAGGTAGGAAGGAAGGATGAAAGAAAGGAAAAAAGGAAAGGAGGGGAAGGAAAAATAAAAAGAAAAGAAAAAAAGAAAAAGAAAAGAAAAAGGAAGGAAGGAATAAAGAACAGAATGAAGAAAGGAAAGGAAGGAAGGAAGGAAGGAAGGAAGGAAGGAAGGAAGTGAATGAAAGGAAAGAAAAGGAAAGGAAATGAAAGGGAAAAAAGAAAGGAAAAGTAAGAAAGGAGGGAAAGCAAAGGACAGAACAAAAGAAGGAGAGAACCAAGGAAGGACGGAATGAAGGAAGGAAAAAAGGAAAGATGGAAGGAAGAAGGGAAGGAAGAGAAAGCAAAGAAAAGGAAAGAAAAATAAAGAAGAAGGAATAAAGGAAGGAAGGAATGTTTAAAGGAATACAGAAATGCAAAAAAAATAAACATCCAAACATGATTTATTTATTAAACAAACAGTAATGTGCAGTAATGTGCCATAATAAATGATGTTTAGAATATAGACTGGCATGTTTGGAGGAGCAGAGTTCCAAAAGGTTCACTCTTAGGTCATCACAAATTGTTGATAAATAAATAATAATTAAATTAATATATAATATAATATATTAATAATAAATCAAAGAAAAAAATATACATATATCCCAAAATAAGTCCACAATATTAAATTAGAACATGCATTTTGGATCAGCCGAGTTCCACAAGTTTCACTCTTAGGTCTTTATAAATTCTTTTTGTTTTCAAGCCTCTCAAACACTCTCAAACAGAGCACGTGTCATTTAGCATTAGCACATCCTATCTGTTGAGTCTGAAGATGTCACATTCACACAGGTGACTCTAGATATTGCTCAACAGTTCAGCAACATTTCATTTGCATAGATGTATTCATCACAACAACACGATTCCCTAAAGATTCACATCCAACAGACTGTACTGTCTCACTAGCTTGTCATCAAATGCTCACCAACAACATCATGAGGCACCCAGAGACACCAAGACAACTGCTAAAAATAAAAACTAGCTTGAATAGATCAGCGTTCCACCTGAACAAAATCATGACAAATCAAAATCACACATCATCTCGCATTGCTGAGGCTCAAGAGAGCAAGACACCGCTACATTCTTCCTCTCTAGCTTCACTCATAACCTTGACCATAAGGCACAGCTGAGCACGGATACACTCGGATGCATACTTGGGAATTCAAAAAGCCAGAACACACCGGTATGTGAAAGGATCGTTTGAGAATAAACGTAACAGACGTGAACCTGCACACCATTTCACAAGTTCAGAATGCATTACATCTCATTGTCACCGGTAAACAAAGGCAAAACCCATTCACGGAAATCGGTTTTCCTTTCTAACATCAATGTAATTCCGAAATATAAATCCAGAAGGTTCAACACCTCCAAAAGATTACATTATCAAAATCCAGCAAGACATTTGGAATGGAGATGGAAAGCGACACCAAAAAAAAAAAAAAGCAACAATCAATCTTGCACAGCTGTTGCGGCGGAAAGGACACATCGGAATACCGTCACACCATTAACCACCAACCAAAACATCTCACAAGTAGACTCATCTTCATTTACCGATCCTTAATAAATATATCACTTGTCAACATCCGTGATTACAACGGCTCCCTCCTCCCCCTCTTTCC